CCTGATCTCCCGGGTCAGGGTGTTCATTCTTTCCCATTCCTGGAAGGCAACTACAACATACGGGGTCCTGGCCACCCCTTTCGCCGTGATCTCCGCCATGCAGAAGGGCTCCGGTAGCCTCTCGATGATCTCGTCTAGGACCGACTTCACCTGCAGGGAATATGTTCGTGGCGTAAGCTGCTGGGCCGGAGTCAGGTCTCTGCTCTCGTGCACTGATAAAACCAGTTGTTATGACAACTTCTTCTGCCCCGTGTGTGAGAGCCCCACATATCTTCCCCGCCCCGTCCCCTCCTGTTGTGTAGGGCAGAGCTTCACTTGCCTTTTCCTCTCGGGAGCCACCTGAGCCTCCTCCGCCCTCTGATTCTTTGGGCTGCATTTCCAAAACGGTCCGAAGGAGCCTGTCCGAAGTGAGGGTCAGGGAGCTGATCTCCGCGTTGGGGTGGAGGCCGTACAGGTAGGGGCTCTCGGGTGGCAGGTTGTGGTCGATGTACTCGTGGTACCCCTAAGCGCAGGGCAGGCGCTGGTGTTAGTTCAGCGCTCGGTGCTTTGTCTTTGAAAATACGTCATTGCTTTTTGGCGGCAGAGCTTCCCAGCTCGCCGTCCTGGCTTGTTCAAGATGCTTTTTTGCTCACATCTTACCCAAGTTTTTCCCTTACCACCCCAGCCACAGGAATTATTTTGCAGCGATTCTGCACATTGCCATGGGATTGAAAAGGTTGTTTTTTCCCTCTATTCCCCCTTGGTTGGCGCGAGGGAGCTCTGACTAGTGCGCGTTCATCCAGAGCCGTGGTTTTCCGCAGCACATTGCAAAGTCAATCTTTCTTACCTTGTAATCCAGGCTGGGAGGGATCAAAAACCCCGGCGCTAAGTACACCTCTCCCTCCAGCATCTCCGCACAGAGGTACTCGCTCAGGTAGGTCCGACACAGCCGGCGGTCCCAGTTGTCTGTGATGTGCCCCCCGTACATGATTTCGCCGAAGAGGTACCGGAGATCGTCCCATGGTACCTGCAAGGAGAGGCTCACCAGGGGCTTGCCACATGCCCCCTGATGAGTCCCCTGCACCCCACTGAGGGGCCGCTGTCCTGAGGGCGAGACCTCAATCCTCCTGATTGCGCCATCATCCTCAGGCGGGCTCTGCCCTTGAGGTGGAAAGTGATTAAAAAACCAACCCAACAAAGCGCCGAGGCGTGAGCTGGAGCAGGCACTGGTCACAGCCCGGTGCTACGCGGCCCCTCCCTCCCAGTTGTGCCTTCGCCTGCCGGAGCATGCAGGCAGCTACCCGGGAGGAGGGGAGGAACTGCTGCCAGTGCTGCGCCGCCTCGAGAGAAGGCGTTTGTGCAGCAAAATAATGAATTCTTTAAAAAAGGTTGATGGTCATAGTGTGCCTTGTGCCGAGGTAGGGTCACCTTGTCAGCCCCTTACCTTGGGGTTGGCCTCCAGGTAGTTGTAGAGGACGTTAATCGATATGGTCAGGTCCCCGCTGTTGAAGGGGTAAGACCTGTTCCAGCCCTGAGCGCCGAACTTGCGCCGCTCGGCCACCGCCGCGTGGAAGTAGCAGAGCGCGAACAAGACGCATTTGAACTCGACTTCCTTGCTGCACATCTCCAGTGTGTCCTGCAGTGGGATGGAAAGGAGACCGGGTTTGGAAGGGAATGAGCGAATATGCCTGTCAGCTGTCCCTCTGGTGAGGAAAACTGACGGATGATGGCAAAGGAGAACTGAAGGTAGGTTGTTTAAAAAAAACCCCACAAAAACCCAAGCATAAAATTATTTTTTAAAGATTTGCTGGTTGGTTAATTTTTGCACTTACTTGTCTATAAAAAAATTAGGAATCCCACCCCCCGCCCCCGACAGTCGAGGCAGCTTGTTCATGGCACCGCACTGCAGCAGCTCAACATTCGCCCTTGGGAAAGGCACCGGTAATTCAGCACCCTCCCTGCCTCGGGAGCCCTCAGGCAGCTCTGGTTACCCCTAACTCATGTCCTGACAAGTGGGGGCTCTGGGCACCCCCAGGAGGACGTGCCTGGGGCTAGGCTGCTCCTGATGCAGCGTCCGTGTCGGCAGTGCCCCCCCCCCAAGATGCTCAGCCTCGGGTGAGCTGGACATGCTGACTCAAAGTGGTGGAAGGGACCCGGCTGGGCACAGCGCGGGGGAGGAGGGGGGTACCTCGGTGAAGAGGGCCAGGGCCTTGTGCAGGTTGGCGTGCATGCCCGTTGGTGGCTCGCTGGTGATCTTGATGGCGTTTTCCAGCAGCCCCTGCGGGATGATGTGTGCCTCGGGGCTGGGGGCTGCCTCGGCACTCATGAACACCCGGTAGTTGGCGTGGCTGCCCACACTGTGCTGCTCCATCATCTTCTCCAGTGTGTCCAGCCACCGGGCCACCAGGTGGATGTTCTGCAACAGGAACCCCTCCTGGGCTGCTCAGGCTGCCCCCTGCCTTCCCCTGTTCCCCTCGTGTCCCCTCCTTGCCCCCTTCCCACTGCCCCTGCTCGAGGTGGCACGGTGCTGTGCTGCTGACCCTGCCGTGGACAAGCCGGAACCCGGCCGCTGCGTGGGCTGAGCACCAAGACCGCTCGTGACTGCGAGTGCACCGGGACGGCAGGGAGCAGAGCAGCTGCCGGCACTCCCCGAGGTTCAGCCAGCCCAGATCCCACCTCGGCGTCGATGGGGACGCTTGAGGCTGGGGGAGCCTGAGGACACTGAGCCGCCTCTGGTGGCTGGCAGAGCTGCGCGCCCTGCCGTGCGCCCCAGTGCCCCCCACCCACCTGCAGGATGACCCAGTGCCCCTGCGCAGCCGCCACCTCCAGGGCCCGCTCGGCCATGGCCTCCTGGCCCTGCCCCAGCAACACGTTGTGGATCCTCCCATTGTCGATGGTGAAGTTCAGCTTTCTGCCTGGGGAGGGGAGGAAACCGCCACGGCGTGAGACGCTTTTTTCATTTGTATTTGTCTGAAGACGCATCCGTGCCGCTCTGGCCCTTTGCTGCTCAAACCAACAGCCACCGGGGGCTGGTGCCAGCCGAGGAGGGGGCAGGGGCTCACCCAGGGCCTCCACGTCTTTCAGCGGGTCGATGCCAGGGGAGAGAATGAAGAACAGGGGCATGGAGGGGCTGCTCTCCTCGTACACCTTGGCGAGCTCAACGCTCTTTCCTTCCACATACTTGCTCCCCATCTTCTCTTCCACAAAGTTCCTACAGAAAAATAAAACCGTAGTGTGAGTTGGGAACAAATGTGGTCACCGGGCGCAGCTGGCGCGATGGCGCCGCCGGGCTCTTGCCGGGAGAGCGCTGTGCCACACACCCCGGGAGGCCACTGGCACACCTGATGGCATAGGTCATCCTGTCGGGCCGCAGGCACCGCAGCATGCACAGCTTCTGCAGGGCTGACTTGTTCTTCCACTCCTTAGGGAAAACCTCCTTCTCCGGCGCCTCGGACTCCACAAACCTCTTCCATCGCTTTGCCGAGCCCTCGATGTCCCTGTCCAAGTTCTTGAACGCTTCCATTTCCGAGAGCACCTTCAGGTCCCACAGAGAAGGGCTAAATCACTCCTGGGCTCTGCTCGCCCTCAGGGACCCCCACGCCGGGGGCTCCCCATGGAGCGGCGCTGTGCCACAGCTGTGCCCTGAGGGGTCCCGCAGCCCTGCTCTGCTGGCCCAGGCAGGCTGCCAGGCCTGCCCTCCGCTGCGCTGGGAGTCCCAGGGGCAGCCCTGGCGTGCCAAGGGTGCCCGGTGAAACGAGGGTGCTGTGTGTCAGCCGGCAGGGCATCGCTCGGACACCCCCGAGCTCACGGGCGAGGAGCCGGGCACAGGGCGGACACTGACAGTCCAAAACTGCCGAGACACAACTGCGCCAGCTGCCCCCTCCTGCCCCCAGGAGCAGGTGGGAGGGGTGGTCTCGGTCAGCGGAACGGCTGACCCCACCGCCTGCTGCAGGGCTGAGTGCGGCCCCCTGCGCTGCCGTCCCACAGCACCGCTGGGGGCTGGGATGTGCTGGGTCTCACCAGCCGCAGGGGACGGGGTTTTGTGGACCCTCCTGAGTGCCACAGGTAACCCCGGACCCCCTGCACTGGGGGCCGTGCTGGCATCGCCTCGGCACAGCCGGCGACTGTGCAGACCAACCTTGATGCCACCCCAGCTCTGGGGCTGCAGAAAGTCCACGGGGGACGCGACGATGGCCTTGGAAGGGAAGCGCAGAAGAAAGTCCAGCTCTGCCGGGTTCACTTCTCTCTTGAGTGCCAGGACCTGGCAAGTCGAGAGTGCAGTGTCACGACCACTGCGGTGCACAGGGCCTTGGCGCCAGGGGCCGTGCTCCAGGCGAGAAGCTACCGAGCACCCGGCAGCAGCACAGAAGAGCACAACCCGGCCAAACCCATGTAAACTGCCGTTCAGCATTAAACAGAAGACCCACAGACTCGCACGCATTTACCTGAAAGGCAATCTGGGCCAGGAAAATGAGTTTGTCCCTCTCAAAGAGTCCCCGTGCGGTGTACGTATAGACTGAGTAGGTGATCTCATCTGTCAGGTTGATCACTCTTTGCTTGATGTCGTCGTCGGGGGTCGTGCACTGCATGGCTTTCTCGAAGACCCTGTGGAATGCCTGAGGAAGAGCAGGCGGGCAGCTCAGTGCCCAGGCTGCTGGGGGTTTTGTTAGCAGCACAAATGCTGAAACACCGAATCGCCGAGACCCCCCCAGAACCTGTCCTGCCCGTGCAAACCAATTCCCTCCTGCTCCACGCCTACCTTGAGAGAGAACTGGTACATGGGGTTGATCTTGCTGAGGTCACTCAGGATGAAGTACAGCAGGGATGCTCGCTCTGCCACTGGCCTGTAGTTTTCTCTAGTGACATTGATTTGGACTTCGGTGGCTTTAGCTTCTTTCACCTTGACACGCACAAGGGTCGGTGTTATCCATCATCCTGGCATGTGCCAAAGCCAGCACGCAGCCTCCTGCTGAGCACCACGTGCCCGGCGTGGTCCGGGAGAGCTCTCCCGCTGCCCGTGGCACCGCAGCACCAGCGCCGGGGCAGCTCGCTTACTTTTTCCTCAATTTCCATGGCCGTGCGCTTTGTCGTTTCCAGGTTCTCCACCAGCGCCGTGTCCTCCGGGAACTGCCCCGTGGCAGCCGACAGCCGGGCCAGCAGGGAGTCCTCCAGCTCCTTCAGCCTGATCTTGAACTCGTTCTGGCTCTTTGTGAGGCTTACCTACAACACCAGCGCCCCGGAGAGACGCGTGTCATTCAAGAGACTCTGGTGACACCCTGGCATCGGTCGCCGTGACTCACACTAGGTGCTCCCTGATGAACTGCATGCAACAGGCTGCAGACCAGCAGCGGTTCTGCTGGCTTTGTCTTCTACTAATTACAAATTCTCCCTTTACAAACGCAGCCCAGGCGACATACTGAGGTCGCTATCGCTACCGGTCTCTGAGGAACCAGCTGTGTTTTTCACGCTGTCACCAAAGGACCGATGCAAGAGGAGGGTAGACGTGGCCCCTCCTGGGATGTGCTGTCACCGCGGGGTGAAGCGGCCAGCATGCCCGTGGCAGTGCCAGGCAATGGGACCCACAATTGCCCACCCAGACGGCAGGCTGTGATCAGGACTCGCTCGGCTCTCAATAAACAACAGCGAGCCCAGGGAGGTGAGATCTCAGTGCTCCCTCCCAGTAAAGTCACCGCAGCTCCCCTGGGCCACTCTCTGCTACCGTCCGGCCGGCAGCCGGGTTCATACCTTCAGGGTCTCCAGGTCCGGACGCTCTTTGGCCACCACAGCAGCCAGAAGCTGGTCCTCCAGTCCCTCCCGGGTCACCAAGAAGTTGATCAGGGTGCACTGAGCCTGCACCTCTGGCTTGTAGTGAGGGTTGGAATACTTGGTGTGCAGAATCAGGCGGAAGCGCGGGTGATATTCCACTTCTTTATCTCCTATCCTGATGTATCTGCTCAGTTAATTAAACAGATTATGTGCGCTTGGCAGGAACTCATCACAGGCAGAAGCCCTCGACCCTTGTGCTGTTCCCGGCCGCTCGAGCTGTGTTTCTGTGGCTGGGGAGAGGAGCAGCAAGGGCAGACGTGCCGAAGGAGCCCCGGCAGCGCAACGGCTGGAGGAGCAGACGGGGCTGGC